GTTTTCCCTTTTTGATCTGATTTTTCCTTCACAACATGACTAATGTGGAAATATATCTGATAGAATTGTACATGTATAGCCTATATGAGATTGTATGCTATCTTGGGGAGGGGAGAGAGGAGGAAGGGAGAAAAAAAATTTGGAGCTCAAAATCTTATAAAAGTAAATGTTAAAAACTATTTTTGCATGTAATTGGAAAAAATAAAATACTATTAAGTAGAAAAAAATAATGATTGTAATAACGAACCACATAACTGAATACCCAGTCATGGCAGTAGCAGCCCAAGGCAGTAAAAGTAGACTCAAGGGGGCAGCTAGGTGGCGCAGTGGATACAGCACTGGCCCTGGGTTCAGGAGGACCTGAGTTCAAATCTGGCCTCAGACACATAACACTTACTGGCTGTGTGACCCTGAGCAAGTCACTTAACTTCATTGCCTAGCCAAAAAAAAAAAAAGAAGAAGAAAAGAAAAGTAGACTCAAGACTGAACCTAGAGAGCTGAGCAGGTGCAGAAGTCAGGGATAAGATGTTTAGGTGCCTCCAACTGGGGTTTAAGGACCAGAGAAGATTTAGAAAGTTGGGAAGGTAAAAGACCTGGGCCCCTGGGATCAAAGGAAAAGGTCTCATAGATGATCCTTAAGGAGGACCTTGCGTCTGAAAAGCTGCATGACCTCAGATCCAGGGCTGGAACTTTTGCATGTGTGTGCATGTATGTGCATGCACATACACATCATACTATTGAGCACCTAGAGGTACATGTAACTCAGTTTCCTCATCTGTAAAATGGGGGAGGGGTGGACAAGATGCCCCCCAAGTTTCCTTTCAGCTCTGAATCTATGATTCGAAATTGAATATTTATAAAAGGTTTCTACACCAGTTAATTGGGGGAGGGAGGCTGACTGATGCCTGTTGGGGGTATGGAAAATCCACGGCTTTCCCAACCTCCCCTCACCGGGGAGACGTTCTAACTCTAAGATTATTGTCCCCAAGGACTGAAAATCCATCATCCCTGATTTCTAAGGGAGGAGGAGAGGACGTGCAGAGTTGACTCATGGGGCACCAGGCAGGAGGCAGAGGGGCTGATGTCATGACCTGCAGCTGAAGTAACTGAACTGAGTAAGCCCTCACCCTGAAGCCCAGAACCACCAAGGGAAGTGAAACCCCTCCCCACCCCCAGCAGCTGTGTTGGGGAACAGCTGCATCCACACCCTCACACACACCCCCGCCAGAGACTTTGGAGAGAGAACTCCAGCCATGCTAGGCTATAGGGCAGGGACCTTATGACTGAGCCATGAGTCACCACCGTGGAGCGGACCCTGAGTTTGCTGAGGTCTTTGAATTGCTGATGTCAAAGATGGTGATTTCTCATAATCCTCCTCCCTCCCCTCTTCCTGAGAGAGTGTGCCTTTTCTCTCCCATCCTCATCCTTAAGACCTTGTTTTCTGTTTCTTTTTTGTTTTAAATCCTGTTTTCTAAGATAAGTGGAGTTAGCCATTACATCTCTGATCTCTATGTGTCCTTGCACAAACTCGATGAGACAGACAACAGAGGGAAAGCCTGGAAGAGAGAAATAGAGGATTTTGTTTGTTTGTTCATTTGGTTGATTTTAAACATCAGTACACATTTCCTGGAAAGATTTCTCTCTGGCTGAGAGCTCGAGCTGAACAAAAGAGAATGAGTGACTCATTTTTATAATTTCCCAGAGCAGAGAGAAAAAAATGTGGACGCGTACATTTCTGGACAAATGGTTAAGCCATTTTACCAGCTGGAACCGGTATGAGAGGCTCTGTCTTGGTCATTCTTCCTTTCCATTTTCTTCCTGTATCAGGTTTGAAAGGAAAACCATTCCTCCAGAAGGCAGGATTTAGAGAGTGACTAAAGAGAAAACCTCAGGCAAAGGGAAGAACAAGAGAAGGGCTGATGCTGCCCATACAAGAGAGGGATGCAGTAAAGGGGAGTCCCTACTCACCCAGCCTGGCAGTCACTACACACACAGGCACACAGTCATACGCAGAGACAATGAGAAGCCCACCCTTCCTTCGAAATTCTAGGACCCCTGTATCTTAAAATAAAAGTGTGATTCTCTAGCCCCCTATGGGGAGGCAATGTGGTATAGTAGAATGTTCCAGGGCTCTGGAGTTGGGGTCCTGGGTTCAAATACCACCTCTGATACATACTGCCTGTGTGACTTTGGGCAAATGACTTGACCTCTCTGGGCCTCAGAGATTCCTCATCTTGCCTTGACGGTGTCTGAGGGCCCTTCTAACTTTAGACCTATGATTCTATCATTTACCAGACTGGATTCCTGCCTTGAAGGTGTCCCTGGGTAAATCTCAGGTTTATATGAGTTCTTCTCTAGTCCCCAGCTTCTTATTTCATGGGGCAGCTAGGTGGTGCCATAGTGCGCAGAGCACTGCGCCTGGATCCAGCTGTGTACCCTGGGCAAGTCACTTAATCTCTGCTTTAAGCCACTGGAGAAGGAAATGGCAAACCACTCCAGTATCTTTGCCAAGAAAACCCCTTGGATTGTATGGTCCACAGGGTCACAAAGAGTCTGACACAACTGAACAGTTACAACAACCTTATTTCATATGCTGGTGGTTTGGTTTTTTTCCATGACTTTTATGTAGTGGGTTAGGGGATGATCAGAGTAAACCCTAATTGGTTCAGAGCACATTCTTTTCCTTCCTCTATGAGCTCAGTGCCAGCCTCACAATCTTTCTTTCCTCCCCATTTCTTGTCCTCACACTTTGGGACTTCAACGTAGATGTCAATGCTCTCACTGATACCTTGACTTCCCAGTTTCTCAATGTATTCCATTCCTATGACCTACTCTGCCTCAGTTACAGAAATGCCTTGGACCTTGCCATCATCTATGAGGATTCTCCTTCCTTGTTTACAAATTCCGGAATTCCTTTATCTGACCATAATCTTTTATTACTTCATGTTTTCCTCTGCCTTATGACCCCTAAACCTGTCCTTTGTCCTCACCATGACCTCCATGTCCTCCACAGGTCAGTTCTTTTCCAGGCCATCACCCTGCCCTAGCTAAACTCTCCCCCCCCACTTTCCCATCTTGACCCCTTGGTAAGCTAGTTAAACTCTACACTATCCTCTCTACTAGGTGTTCTTTCTGTCTTTCTTCCTTTCTTTCTTTCTTTCTTTCTTTCTTTCTTTCTTTCTTTCTTTCTTTCTTTCTTTCTCTCTTTCTTTCTTCCTTTCTTCCTTCAATTGGGGTTAAGTGACTTGCCCAGGGTCACACAGCTAATACGCGTTATGCATCTGAGGCTGGATTTGAACTCAGGTTCTTGTGACTCCAGGGCCGCTGCTCTATCCACTGCACCACCTCACTGCCCCTCTACTAGGTATTCTGAATCTGGGGTCCTGAACTTGTTGGTTTTTTTAAAAAAATGTTGATAGTTACATTTCAACATAATTGGTTTCCTTTGTAATATACTATTGTATATTGTATTATACTACGTGAAAAATTTTATTTTATGCATTTTAAAAATGTTTTTCTGAAAAAGGGATTATAGGCTTCACCAAATTGCCAAAGGAGTCAAGAGGTTAAGAACGCTTGCTCTCATCCCTGTCCCTTGCTCTGTCATTGATCATGTTTTGTCAACCCCAACCCTGGATTACTCCCCATCTGCCTCGTGTGCTCTAGAACAGAGAAGAAAATCACGCAACTACGCCCACTGCGTCTGCTGTAAATTTGTGTTCATCTAATCTCAGCCGGGCTCTCACACAGCAAAGCAAGTATTCTATTCCTTCCTAATTGATTTCAAACATTCTTGCGTCTCCTCGGTCCTCGCATGGCATCCCTCCTTTCACCCTCCTAGCTGAGAACTTTGCCTCACATAGCACAATCTTGTCACCTTCACCTCCTCATTCTCATTCACCTTGTAAGTCCAAATCTTGTCATTTCCACCTTCCCATCATTTCTTTACAAACTTACTTTGTTACCAGATCTTGTCATTTCCACCTTCGCATCATTTCTTTACAAACTCTTCTCTCCACTTCACATAGCCCTGGTCTAGGCTCTCATTCCCTTTTGCTGGGACCACCTCACAAGCCTGCTGGTGGGTCTCCCTGCCTCAAATCTCTCCCCACTGAAGTCCATCTGCTGCTCAGCAGCTGAGGGGATTTTTCTAAAGCACAGGTTACTGCCTGTGTTACTCCCCCTCCCACTCAGTAAGGTCCAGTGTCTCTGTGTTACCACTAAGATTTTTTTAAAAGTCCTCCTTTATAAAGCTCCTTCATAACTTGGTCCCTTTCTACCTTATACTTGACTCTCCTCCACGTAATCTACAAGCCAGCTGCACTACACTGGGCTCCTTGCTATTCCTTGCCCATGACACTCTATCTCCCACCTCCATATCTTTGCACTGGCTGTCCCCCGTGCCTAGAATGCTTTTCCTCCTAACCTCTGCTTCTTAGCTTCCTTGAAGACTCAGGATCCCACCTTCTGAAGGAGTTCTTTCTGGCCCGTCTTCCCCCTTCCCCTCGCCATTCTTAGTGCCATCCCTCTGAGATTTCCCTCTGTATATTCTACATATATCTTATACGTATCTCATTACTTGTATGTCATCTTGCCCATTAAAATGTGAGCTCCTTGAGGGCAGGGACAGTGTTTTTGCCTTTCTTTGTATCCCTAGCACTTAGCACAGTGCCCGGCACATAGCAAGTGTTCAATAAATATTTGTTGACCGATTCATTACAGCTGTCCTATCTTTTTCGCAAGGCAGGGAATGTCCTGAAGCCCTTGGGGGACCATGTCTCTCACCTCAGTCTCTGGGGATCTGTATCTCCTCTTCCTTCTATCTCCTTTTCTGGGGCCTATTCCAGACCTGATTAAGCTGCTTGGGGAGGAGGTGGGGACAGTGGGCAGGAGGCAGGGAGGAGAGGCTCTTGAAGGAGGTGTGGACTGATTCCTGGAGCAGAGAACTCAACCTGTCCATCTCCCAGCCTTCCTTGGGGAGGGAGGGAGGAAGTCCTCACCTGATGCTCCTGAGAATCTCCTTGGAGCACAGGCCCTGCTCCTGTGCCATCCGAGTCAGGTCCAACACTGCCAGGCTCAGGCACTCTCCCTGCTCCTTAAGGCTCAGAGTCAGATTCATCCTCCCAGTGATGAAGTCACTTCGGGACTGTGGGAAGAAGCCCTTTTACTCTCCACAGGGGAATGAGGCAGGAGCCATCTGGAACAATATCCTCATGAACTCCTCCTCCAGATAGAATGCTCGATTTGGAGTTAGGGGACCTGGCTTCACACACACACACACACACACACACACACACACACACTCGAGTCATTTATTCCCTATGTGACCTTGGGCAAATGACTTCCCTTCCCTGGGCCTCTATTTCCTCATCTGTAAAATGGGGGGGTCTGATGGGATGGCCCTGAGGTCCCTTTTAGTCTAGACCTTGGATCCTACAACCTCTAAGATCTCAACTTCCTCGTTTTTATTTTAAGCTTTTCATTACCCTGTGACCCATCCGTAACAACCACACTGCAGTCCAGGGCACTGAGGCAATGACAGCCTGAGGCATGTTGGCCTCCGAGGCTGTGCCAGTCCCCTCTTCTATCTCGACCGTACTGTGGACAAACACCTTCTCCCCTACATGCTGGGAGCAGGGTGAGAAGAAAAACGGGATCAGGGTCTGGGAGCCCTGAAATCCTGACTAGGACCTAAAGTAGTGACTTGGCTTTGTTGTAGATGAGAATGATGATGACAATTACTCACATTTTTTAATATTTGTGAAGCACTTCCTTATAATAAACTTATGAAGTTGGTGGTTCAAGTATAATTACAACCATTTTACAGAGAGGAAAACTGAAGAGCTTAATCGTCTTCACATCAGAAATTCATTTGGATACTTTAGCCTCTGCAGGCTTCTGTTAGAACCAAAGTTAGCATGTGGCAATCAGGACTTTGTCCCAGGGCGCTGACATATGGTAGAGCAGCCTCTTTCCTCTGACTTGATCATTCAGATTACTGTTACCACCTCTCAGATCTACCAAGTGTCTTACTATTCTAGGTCTTGCTCCATCTCCTCTTCCCGCTTCCCTCGCCTCCACCTCTCTCTATGCTGGTGTGACCATGCCCAACTCAGCAGGCTGCCTGCTAGGCTTGGGGACACATTCCCCTTGAGATCGGGGCAACCACTCCGTCACAGCCATTGCTGGGTCTCTGTTTCCCAACCTGCCTCTACCTAACTGAATTCTAGAGTAATCGAAGGTACCGTTCAAGCTACTACATTTTATTTTTTCTTTGATGAGTTTCTCATCAATGTATGAGCTCCTTTTAAAGTTGTCGATTATATCTAAGAAGTCAATCCATGCATACAAGTGTTATATCTCTCATGAAGGTTGAGCCCTGATCTTGGCCCCAGACCGAGCCATCCCATAACGTGGTACCCAGGCCTACGAGGGGATATGGGGAAGGCGTGAATGGCTTGTTGTAATGCCTCTGCCCTGCTGAGAAATGCCTTTAGAGGTCTTCGGTTCTGGGGAGGACCCTAGGGAGGGCCACTGATGTCGCACGAGGGATGGAGGCTTCTCCTGACCTGTAGGGGAGAAGGGCCTGGGGAAGAGGAGCTGACCTGAGCAAAGAGATACTCGAGAACCGGGAAGTCCAGGATGGCGTTGGCTCGGTCCTTCTGTAGCCCAAAGCGGTAACACTTCTCCAGGCCGAGCCAGTTTGGGAAGACAAATCTGAAGAGTAAGACAAATCCTGAGTCACAGGCGGGGGTGGGGAGATGGAGTCCCGTTCAGCCCAGCCTGTTGATCCTGAGGGGGCCAGCAACGGTCATTTAGTCTTTCCTTTCTCCTCCTGCACAGACCCTGAGCCCCTACCGCAGAGGGGAGAAGAGGAACTGCCCCTATATTGGGGGCTAGAGAAGGAAGAGATGTCCAGGTCTCTGCTGAAACACCATTCCTGGTGCTCCCCTGAGCTGGGAGTGGGGACACTCAGCTCTGCTGAGATGACATGACCTTGGGCAAGTCTCCTCTCCACCCTGGGCCTCTGCTTCCTCATCTATAAAGTGAGGGAATTGGACTTAATGATCCCTGAAGGTATTTCCAGCTGGGAAACTCTGTGTCCAAGGCTCCTTCCAGGTCAGGAATTCCATGCTTAAAGGACTTATCTAGAGCTGTAGGACAATTCATGTCCTAAGGTTCTTCCCAGCCCTGATGTCCTGTGTTCTAAGGGCCCTCCCAGCCCTGCCACTCTGTGACTTAAGGGCCTTCCCAGCTCTGACAGTCTGTGTTCTCAGGGCCCTCCCAACACTGATATTCTGTGTTCTCAGGGCCCTCCCACCTCTGACAGTCTATGTTCTAAGGACCCTCTCAGCTCTGACAGTCTATGTTCTGACTGCACTGCCCTCCCCCAACTCAAGAGTGTGCCTCTTATGATTTAAGGTAGTGTGTGACGTTTTGGCCTAGATGACAAGCAAGGACTAGGGGCAGGCTTGTGTGATGGAGGCATCTGTGCAGATAACATCTGGAGGAAACCTCAGCCCCTCCCCTCACTGCCTCCCTTCCCTTTCCTTGTTCTGTCCCCACCACACCCCAACACCGTACCGGATCCTGTAAAGGAGAATTTGGACGGTAGCATCTTCCACCATGAAGACGTGGTTGGGTGGGAACCAGCAGGACAGGTCTTCAGTGGCCAGGGCAAAGAGAGCATGGCATACAGGCAAGATCCCTGCAAGAGGCAGAGGGCTGGGCCACTCAGGCCAGAGGCTGGGCAGAGGGAAGGGAGGCTTCTATCTAGCTCAAAGTGATATTAGAGGGACCCAGGGCTGGGCAGCGGGAGATGATTGATGGGACAGGGACACTGGCCAAGGAAGGGGCAGGGGGAGATGGACTGTATGAGTGATGGGACAGGGACACTGCCTGAGGAATGGGCAGGGAGCTCAGTGGGGCCCAGGGAGGGGATGGGGCATCAGGAGAGAAATGGGGGCTCAGCTAGGGGCATGAGGACCCGACGAGGGGATCAGAGTTTTCATAAATCTGCTCCTGTTCCAAGCTTGGAATCAGCAGCCCTCCAACCATGATTGCTATCCCTGTGCTCACCGCAGGCCTTGGCAGCCTGCACACAGAGCTGTTCAGCAGAGTACTCCCCAAAGGAGAAGGTGAGGACCTGCGGGGACCCTGGGTTTCGGGGACACAGGAGCACTTGCAGGGAGCCGGCCTCGCTGGAGGAGAGGCTGTAGGACCGCTGTTCAATCAGGGGGGTGTCCTCCCCCAGAGGCGCCATGACAGCCTCAAGCCTGGGAGAAGAGAGAGCAGGAAATGGTGGCACCCTCCGTCCTGGCTGAGGCCAGGGAGGCAATGATGCCCAGTGGGCAGGAAGCCCAAGAAGACAAGCGGGCTGACAGCTCCTCCCTCTCACCAAGGTCCTCCCCCCGGGGTTTTCAGCCACAGAACTAGTCTTTGTGTTGCCGAAGGAGCCTAGGGTTCTAGGTTTCCCTACTCCTTTGAGCCAGGGGTGGCCCCTGTCCTCCTCAAAAATGCATACCAGGAGGAGAAACAGGGTCAGGGAGAGGGCATCCCAGGGAGATGACCTGGGCAGCAAGCAAGAATTTAAGAACAAACCAGAACACAGACAGCCACGCTCAGTGCCCACCCCTGTCTATGCAGCAGTCACTCACTGTCCCAGGAACACTGCATCCACACCTCTGGGTCTGTCAAGTCTGTGGCTGGGATCACATCCCTGCTCATTCAGACACCTTCCACGACAGCCCCCACCAGACAAAGTCTAAGCCACTGGGTTTGGCAGTCAAAGCCTCCATTATCTGGACTCAACCACACCAGGTTTTAGGCTGGCCAAAGAGATGAGAGGAATACAGAGAAGCAGTGAGGGTCATAAGAAGCAAGCCAGTACAGGATGGGGGGGCAGGGAGGAGGAGGAGGAAGATGAGGGAGTTTGGGGTGTAGGAAGTGGACAGTGGGAGCTAATAAGTCTGAGCGGCTGTGGTCAGAGGATCATAGACTGAGCTATACTGAGGCTTAGAGGTCTAGTACCATCCCTCATTTTACAGAGAAGAAAATGAAAGTCAAGGAAGGCAATATAAGCTATTTGAAATCATTTAAGCTGCAAGGGGAAAAGCCTCCTATGCCCCGACATCACAGGTGGTCTCCCGCCCATGTACTGAAGGGGCCCAACCCTGCTCACCTTCTCACCGCAGACAAGACAGAGCATGCTCCAGATGGCCTGGCCTTGGACAGGTGAAGGGAGCCCACAATATGTGTGTCTGCTCCACACGCTGTTCTCTGCTGGGGCTGCCAAGAAGCCAGGTTAGCTAGGTTCCACGATCCCCATTCCCATGAACCTCCCAACCTAGCTGGGGATGGGGCAGAGGGAGGAGAATCTGATGAAAGGTTGAGTGAGGAGTTCCCTCTTTCCTGAAACTAGAGGTAAAGCTGAGGCCATGTGAATTGTAGATAGTGGGGAGAGGTCCAGAACTGGAGTGAGGAGGAAGTAGATTTGGGCCAAGCAAATCACTTCACCTCTCAGACCTCATTTTCTGCATCCCTAAAATGAGAAGATATGAACTCCATGACCTCTACAATCCCTTTTGGTTTGGAGTCTCAAGTCACGAGGCTGAGGAATGGCCACTACCACCTCAATGACTTTTGCTTTTGGTTTCAGGGTCTTCCTGCTCCTAGCTATACACTACATCTCCTCTCATCCCCCTCATGCTGCCCTAACCCAAGCCTGCCTCTACCATACCACAGGGCAGGCCTGGGCCACCTACCTGGCTGAAGGTTTCCCGAAGGGAGTTGATCCCTATGGAGAAGGCATCTGGGAACAGCTCCGTGGATTCCTTCTCACTGAGTGAGAAGCAAAACCCCCAACCCCATGGGCTCTTTTCCTTTAGCCTCTGGCTGGACTCCCCCTTCCCCCTCACAGATACTTGGTTTCCTGCCTAAAAGCTTTGACTTACAGAAAGTCTGCAGGGGGTGGGGGAGCATATCTGAGAGGAAGCTGAGCTCACACAGAGCCACAGAACATCAGAGCCGGAAGGCATCCTACACACAAGCAAGTCCTACCTTCTCAACAACAGAGGGGGAAACCGAGACTCGAGACTCGCAGAGAAGGTACTTGCCCAAGGGCAGAATGAGTCAGGGACAGAATGAAGAACAGAACTCAGGCATTTTGGCTTCTAGGATAGAGTTCCATCAACAGGAATTTTATTGAGCACCTACTATGTGCCATATATGTATATAAAGGGCCCAGCTAGATGCTGGAGAAAAAAAAAAGAAGCAGATTAGTCAAATTATGGAGGCTGGGGCATTAGAGGAAGCAGAGTGCCAAAGGACAAGAGTCAGCTGGGCCCTGAAGGCCAGTATCCAGGAGCTTGGGTTAGGCTAAGCTCTTTTTACCTGTGATGGGAATCAGGAGAGTAGGGAGGAAAAGGAAGGTTGGCAATACTCCATCATTCTGGTATTTCCCAGCATGAGAAGAAAGACATTCCAGGCAGAGGGAACTGTGAGCAAAGGAGTAGAGGTAAGACATATAATGCACATAGCAGAGCAGGGAGCTGGAAAGGCATATTGCTGCTAGTCATGAAGAATCTTTATTGGTGGTCTATGGAGTTGGAATGTTCTCCTGTGGAATGTCCAGGGTGGAGAAGGGAAGCTACGGAAGGTTAAGATGGGCTTTGAGATGATGCCTCTGGTCACCTGTATTAAAACAAAAATGAAATGTTCCCCAGAAAAGAGTAGGAAACCATGAAGAAGAGATTTACTAAGGGCAAGATAAGGAGAAGGGAAGGTTTGCAGTTACATAGTGTGGCAGAAAAATGTCCACTATTTGTGCCCAGCCCGTGATAGAGCATTCCGAGCTCATATTAGTCGGATCAGCCAATCAGTCAGACACATTGTAACTTGACTCTAGCACAGTGAGGTCACTTTGGTCCTCTGCAAGAACCAGAGACCACAGCCAACGAAATAGAGGAGAAAGATGGGTATGAAGATTCTGAAAACACGGACCCAAGAGAGTCCCAGAGATACTGCTTTGCCATTTGAAAACTTGGGAATAAATATAAGTGGACCCTAGATCCAGAGCTGAAAGGGACCTTGGAGGTCCCACTTCCTTACTTTACAGGGGAGGAAGGTAAGGTCTAGAAACCTTATGTGACTTGTCCAAAGACACAAGTATTCAATGTCAAAGACAGGGCTTGAATCTGGGTCCTTTAACTCCGGAATGGAAAAGATCCTGGATTAGAATCAGGACTGGAAGAGAGACCTTGGAACAGGGAAGGTAAGATCTGAGAAAACCTGGGAGATCTTGGTGAAGATGCTGGTCAGCTTGGCATCCCATTTCTGACACATTCACTGTATCGCTTGATTCCCAGGAACCTCTTTTCTCACCTAAAAGATGGGTGAGAATAATTTTCTTACTTGCTTTCCAGGGTTACTGGGAAGCTCAAATGAGGTTATGTATGTCAGGAAAGACAGGATCCAAAGGCAATCCACTAGCCTGCTATTTTTCTTCAATATTTAATGTCCTGTGGACTGCTGAAGCAGAGGAGACTTTCATAATTGAATAGAGTATCGTGATGTAATTTCATCTGCTGTAGTCTCACCAAAAGTATTCGGGGGTAACTCCAGCAGGAGACAAGATGATGAGAATAACACACACCCTGTCTTGTCCCCATATGGCTATAATTTCTTTGATTAGGTCTCTATATCTATAATGTTTGTCATTCCACATAGAATATTCAGTGTAGTGACATCTATAAAAAACTGTTCTTAAATTTTTAAGAATCAGTGTTATGTTTGGACAGTTGTGGGCAATAGTTCTATTTGGCATAGTGTGCTGGCTCAGGTAGAGTTTATCTGCTAAATTCTCACGATTATACTGCAGGTTTGTGTTTGTAGTAAGGTAATTTGTTGTTTGTTAGTTTAGGAAGGATAGTGAGGGTGTTTTTGTTTGTTTGTTTGTTTTTTGGCTAGGCAATGGGGTTAAGTGACTTGCCCAGGGTCACACAGCTAGTAAGTGTTACGTGTCTGAGGCCGGATTTGAACTCAGATACTCCTGAATCCAAGGCCAGTGCTCTATCCACTGCACCACCTAGCTACCCCGGATAGTGAGCTTCTGGCCATCCCATCATGCCATCCCATCAAGTGGACACTACGTTTTTTGCAGTGTTCAGTTACACAGGTAGGCAACTTCACTGCATAATCCGTATCAATCAACAAGACAAACTTTCCGTAATTTTGGGTGGCAATGATCTGATCTTGAATCAATGTAAATCTCTCCATTTCTAAAAACAAATTGGTTTGACTTTAGCCATTTGGCCAATATCTTTGTTGATGTGTTATTGGTGGAGTTCAAGGGGATGTTTTCTGTGGAGGACCCTTTGATTTCACTTTTTCTTAGATCTCTTTTTTTTTAATTAAAGAAAAATGATACTTTTAGTTGTATTGGAAAAAATACAGTGGTATCTCTTTGTTGTCCACCTTTGTTTTTCCTTTGTGGAGTGAGGTATGTTTGCTCCAAATGTATTTCTATAAAATTTTAACCTGTTTATAACATGCTCTGAAAACATCTCTTACTGTTTTTCTTTTTCCACAAGGAAGTATTAATCTTTTCCATAGCTGCCTTGGGTAAATGAACCTTGTGTTTTATTAACATTATTAACTTTGTATAGGTTTCATTTGGACAACTCCTATATCAGTTGTCACCTTTTTACTATACCAAAAGTTTAGGCTAAGTGTTTTGTTTTGTTTTGTGAGGCATAATGAGGCCTTTTATGAGACCTCATTATTTCATTTATTCATTATTTTATTATTTATTTTTATTTATGTCTTTATTTATGAGGCCTTCATTATTTAAGAGGCCTATTTTTTTTAAATGAAGCTTTTATGAAGCAAAATCATGTTTTACTCAGGGTTAAGTGACTTACCTAGGATCATACAGCTAGTAAGTGTCTAAGGCCAGATTTGAACTCAGGTCCTCCCAACTCCAGGGTGCTCTATCCACTGTACCACCTGGCTACCCCTACAAGGGTGTTAATTGTTCTAAATGTGTTAGGCTTTGACTTGAGGATGCTGGTCAGTCTCTTAACAAACACACCCACAGCTTTCTCCTTGATAGCCTTATGCTCAATGTGTCATGCCTGGAGAAGAATAAGTTATTTATAAGCATTGCCTTCATCCGTCAGTTCATCTTGGGCTCCTGATTCGAGTTCAAAGCCTTCAAGCTCTATTTTTCCTTGGTGTACATTAATTTTAAACTTAATTCCAAATGATGTTTTGATGTTATCAGAGAAGTGGCTTCTTAAGGTGCTTTTCAGTGGAGCCATAGGACTCAATGTTATCTAGGTACCTTGCAATTAATAGAATGTGATTAGTAGATGTAAAACATGCTAGCATTCTCAGAATGCCTGAATCCGTTTTATATATGTAAAATGTCTTTCATACATGCTCCTATCCTCTAAGGTGGTGGTCCGTGTGGGAAACACCAAGAATCTGTTTCTGGAAGAAGATGTTCAGCATTCCCCTACCTCGTGAGTGGGGGCAGCCTTTTCCACGGGCGGCCTAGTTGGAACCGGCTGCATCTTTCAAATCACCAGCCTGGGACAGTCTTGCTGTCTTTCCAGCAGCATCCAAAGGGTAAATGTCCTGTTCATCCCCATCATGAGCAGCATGAACTAAGCTGGATGGAGGGAAGGACTACCTCCCCTCCTCTCCCTTTAGGCCTTAGGGCCTGAGAAATGGGTTTGGAGTTTTTGTTCTACTTCTCTTGTCCTTTTCAATTCTAGGTACCTCTAGTAGAGTCCCTGGTAATGACAGCTCAAACCATGGTGGTCTTGGAGGAGGATTCCAGACCAGATGCTGCTGAGAGCCCCACAGGGAAGGCTTGAGAAGCCAGGGTTCCAGGAGGTGAGGCCTTGGGCTTTGGACTTGGAATTTGGTAGGCCTGATATTATATAGGAACAGAGTTAAGTTGCAAACCTAATTCCCCTTCCCTCCCTAGCGATGGAGGTGGTATGGAGGTAGGGACAGAGGGATTATGCCCCTATGTATTGGAGGGGTAAACCTTTGAAGTAAATATTCCTTTGTAAAAGCTAAGTTAACTGTTAAGTGTGCACAGGACCTCTAAAATTGGGAGGGGGAACACTGCTGGTCCGGCAGAAGACCGGACAAACTCAAATCCCCTTGTCATTTGTCCTTCGTTTCTGAAAGGGAACAGGAACATCCTTGGGTGACTGGATTTAAATGAAGCAGAGCTGTATGTAGTCATCAGCCTCACTCTCTCTCTTCCTGAGTCATCGAAGCCCAGTGGCAAGACAAAAGTCAGGACAACTGGAAATGGCCCGGGATGCAGTGGATGACCTTGGCCTCTTCCATGTCTGACCGAGTTCTAAGTGCTACAGGGCGCCTGCTTCAGCCGCCTTCATGGCCAGTGGAACAAATTGTTCTCATCCTCTCATTCCACCAGGTGAAGTCTTCACATGCTTGGGATAGACACCCCCTTAACTCACTGATGGGTTTGAGGCACCCTGGTTACCCTCAACCTATTTAGCCTGTCTGCCAAGATGGTTTATTGGGATGTGGCCACTATGCATGCTACAGCTTCTTGGAGCCACAGGTAAGAGTTGGGTGAAGGTGGACACCAGTGGTGGAGGAGCAGGCCCAAACAGGGCCTCAGCAAGCCCTCACACCAGGAGTGTTAGCCCTCCTTGAACACCTCATACTCCCCAAACCCCCTTAAGGATATCAGAGAACCCTAGGGGAGTAGTGAGATGTAAAAGACCTGGCCCTCAGACCTGGAGCCAGGAGAGCCGCTGTTACACATATACTTACAATACGTGACTAAGAAAGCCATGAGTGCAAAACTAAGCTGAAAGCTTTGCAATAGTCAGTAAAGGTGGGATACATTTTATTATGGCACTTTCCGCTAAAATAATCAACAAATTGACAATGAGTCATTCTTTATTCCCCTGGGACTTGTTAGCAAACCCTAAATGCTTTGTATGAAGTACATAAACACATAATTGATTTATATCTGTAAAGGTAAATTGTGTTCTCATCTTCCAGGAATAAAAAGGTGATATCTTATGTTAAGAAAGATAGGGTCAAGGCAGCTAGGTGGTGCAGTGGATAGAGCACTGACTCTGGACTCAGGAGGACCTGAGTTCAAATCCAGCCTCCAACACTTGCCACTTACTGGTTGTGTGACCCTGGGCAAGTCACGTAAACTCCATTGCCTAGGAAAGAAAGAAAGAAAGAAAGAAAGAAAGAAAGAAAGAAAGAAAGAAAGAAAGAAAGAAAGAAAGAAAGAAAGAAAGAAAGAAAGAAAGAAAGAAAGAAAAAGAAAGGGTTCAGAGATACTGACATAAAAGGCCTTAGTAAAGACAAATTTCCCTGCTAAACATCCAATGACTATTTAAATGGATGTCAGCTGAGGCAATAATCAAGAAAACCAAAGGGAAACACTAGCAAATTCCTCCATATAGTCAAGAGCTGCAAAAGATGCCCGGAAGCCTGAGAGCACTCTGAACAAGGATGGGCCATGGGACTCAGTCAGCCAAATCTCATGTAAATAAGGCCTCGAGCCAGTGGGATCTTGGCCTTGGCCTTCAGGAGACACAATCAGATACAGACTCGATAAGATTCTGCACAGAGAAGTAGGGCCGTGTAGCGGACTCACGCTTCCGCGGGCTTCTGAGAGGCCAGCACAGAAGAGGTTAAGGCCAGCCAGATCCCAGTAGTTGACTGCTCAAGAAATGAGGTAACAAACCAAGCATCTAAAATGCTCATACAGAGATGAAGAGGGCCTCCAGGAAGCCTAAAGCCATTATGATCTTTGATATCCCGTTAAAGACTTGCAGAGAGAGAGCGAGAGAGCGAGAGCTCCCTAGTAGAAACAGAACCAACTCCTGGTTGGCAATTGTCCAGAAAGAAGAGCAAAGCCAAGTACAATACCTTCGTTAGGCCATCAGGAGGTAGAGGTGGAAGTCAGGACGTAGTACCAAACACCCCATCCAGACTTATGGAAAGGTAACAGCAATGGTGGAGCAATTAAGCGGTGCAGTGGATAGAGTGCCAGGCCTGGAGTCAGGAAGACGGCTCCTGGTGAGTTCAAATATGGCCTCAGACTTACTAGCTGCGTGATCCTGGGGAAGTCACTTCACCCTGTTTGCCTCAGTTTCTTCCTCTGTAAAATGAGCTGGAGAAGGCAATGGCAAACCACTCCAGTATCTCTGCCAAGAAAACACCAAATGAGATCATGAAAAATCAGACATGATGAAAAATGATCAAAAACAACAACCTTAGTAATCATATCCATACTTGTGGAGGGCACAGGAAGAGTCAGGACTTGCTTACCCCATGCAAGAGTGCAAATGGAGGTGGAGCGCAGATGCGGCACAAAAGTTACAATTCAGTCACTATGCCTAGAGATATGTGTAAACAGAAGAAAATTCTACAGTGAAGAAATGCTATGGGCTAAGAAAAGCCTCAAAGGTAAATTCAGAAGTGAGAAACACTACAATAAGTTCAAGTAGATCATCAGAAGAAAAAATAAAAGAATTGCTTGGCTACAAGAACTTCCAGAATACATTGAAGAAATGAAGCAAGATTTTTTAAATGAAACTAGAGCTCTTGCAGGAAAAGAAATTAGTTCTGTGTAAGTCTTTATTTCAAGTATATTTTCTATAAGTAACATATTGCGGGATTCTGATTTCTATTCCATTCTGCTATCTTCTTCCATTCTATGGGTGAGTTCATCCCATTCAACTTTGATTGTTTATCATGTATTCCCCCACCATAGCTTTTCTTGTCTTTGTCCCCCATTCCTCTCTTTACAAAGAAGGTGAAAGAAAAAAATGTGATCATTTTTGAAGTGATTGGCTTCCTTCTTCTGCCCCTCCTTTCTTCACCTAGACCAGACCCTATCACTGATTCTTATATTTTCTTTCTCTCCTTTTAATATCCCCTTTATGATCCACCCCCAAGTTGTAATTTGTTTTGATTGTGACTATTTCATCCCCATCTCTATTTTCCTCTTAAATTCCCCCTTCTCTCTCCCCATCTATCTCAATTCTCATTTGTCCAGTTCAGATAAGTGTAAAGTTCCTGAGATACTGTTTCCATTTCCCTGACTCCTTCCTCCATGTCTGTATATGCTTCTTCTGCTGTATCCTAATTATGAAAAACAGTCATGTCTTCCCCTTCCTCATTTATTCCTCAATGTATTTCTTTTTCCTTCCCTTTTTATTAACTCTTTTAAAACAAACCAAATAGAACAAAACAACACTCAGGCCCCATGTTTATCTTTCTTAATTTCCTTAATTGTGACCCTTAAAGACAGAAAGATTCTGGAGGGGCACTCATTGCTTCACCTCACTACCAGAATGCAAGCATTTCATCATTGTTTATCCCCTTTTGATTGCACAAGCATATTTGCTTTAATATTCTTATCACTAATAGCAATAACAACTAATACATTTGAATACCCACCAATCAGCCTCTGTATTTTTGGCCTACACCACTTGTATTGTCTGAGTATCAAGCACTGTAGATCTGAGGCCCTGGGCATCTAAGATTGTGAGGAAGATCTGAGGTCCATTTCATTAGAGGGGACCATGGATCCTTGAATAAAGTGCTATTGGCTCAGAAAAAAAGTATTTCTAGGTTTCTCTTGTCTCCTGGGTTCGTTTAAAAAATTCTGTCCTTCTCTGGACTTTTCATCAGGAATTTCTGAAAATCCTTCATATGAAAGGTTCATTTTTCCCCTTGTAGGATTATATTAAGTTTTACTGGGTAAACTTTTCTCAATTGTAAGGCTTTATCTTTTGCATTTTAGATATACTACTGCAAGGTTTTCTTTTTTTTTTCTTTTTTTTTTTTTATGGTAGTTACAGCATAGTCTTGTGTGATCCTGGCTATAATTCCATGGTACTCCTTTTCTGGCTACTTACAATATTTTTTCTTTGGATTAGAGGCTATGGATTTTGGTTATGGCATTCTTAGGTGTTTTCATTTTGGCATTTCAGGAGATGATTGGTGGATTATTTCTTTTTTCACTTTTTTCTGTTTCTAATAGACCTGAACAATAAGATTTCTATTTCTAATCTATTTCTATGTCAGATCTATTTCTAATAGATCTGAACAATAAGATTCTCTAATGATTCTTGAAACAATGGTATCTGGGTTTTTTTGATTTGGTCTTGGTTTCCAGGGAATCTCAATTAGACATCACTCCATGTAATTGAGGGTCCCCATTGACTTACTACATTTAGTAGTAAAGTCCTCTCCAAATGAATGATCATGTGAAAACTCAGTGACCACACTAGAAGGAACAGAAAAGGCACATATGCATGCCTTATGTATTCAATAATAAAAAAGTTTACTGAAGGACATTCTATACAGCTAACTGTGACCACAGAAGGGCTAAAGAATAGAGCAGACTGCTATAGTCCTCCAAATCTGTTTACAAATTGGGGTGGTGGTATGACAGCTCCACAGATGTCTTGCTAGCTATACTTTCTGTATAGTAAAAGTCCCATCTGTGATGTGTGTTACAGATTTTTTTGGAGGGGTGGGAGTGGGCTCCAAGATGGTGACTGGTAGAAAGCAAGGTTATCTGATACTTTTGCTTTTAGATCTACATTTTGGGATCTTTGACTATAATAACAGGCTGAAGGGGATGACACTGGACAGTGGAATGTTCCCTGATTTACACAAAGTTGACTAACAAGGGGGATAAGGAGGGTCTTATCTCTGATGCCAGTTGCTATGGGGCTGTTTGAGCCAAGATGCACACTTGGGGAGATATCCTTGAGTGGTTTTAGGAGTAAAGGTCAAAAGGTAAGGGACAATTAATACTTATAGGATACATGCAAAATGATATGGACATATCATTTAAATTATATCATTTAAATATCATTAATCATTCATTTAATCATTAATGATTAAATAGCATTTAAATTATTTTGCAAATGCCAGAAGAATGGTCTTGGGTTATTCTTCCAAGTGCCTTATTGAGAATTTTTTCTGCCCTTGAGAATTTAGAAAGAAAAGCTTACATTTCATAGGGGAGGAAAAATGAGCTTTTAAAAATCCCTACTTTTTTTAAGGAATTACTAATCTATGGGATATAACTTCATCAAAAATTCAAGAAATGCAATTTGAAACTTATGTATACATACTTATTTACAAAGAGGAATGGTCCCATCTTTCTCCCACTTGGAGAAAGCAGCAATGGCTAATAGGATGAAGCAGAACACAAGAGTTAGATGTCAGAAGCTGCAGTTTGGGGAGAACAGAGACTTACCAGCTA